ATTTTTCTTTTTGATCCTTATTTTTAAAGAATTTAAAAATCACACTGGAGAGTCATTCTTTACCCAATTAGAAACACACTGTAGATTCTGCCATATTTCCCTGAGGACCCCACCCAGTGATATCATGCTCAAAAGGTGCAGGTCTACCTACAAGAAGATAGGAATCTAGAGAAAGTAAGGGAGCCCCACAAAGAGCTGGATATCTGGGGGACCAAACATCTCACAGATGACAACAGAGAAATGTTTATGAAAGAAATTTAAGAAACCACTCTCTCTTTATATCACTCATTTGTACATTTCTACTATCTGAAAGGCATGTAAACATTTTTTAATTATCTGAATCTTAAAGAAAGATAAATGTGGGATACCTTCAAATACATGAATTATAAGGAAGCTACATGCTTCTACAGACTAACAGTGAACAACATCTCAAATCAAATTCCAAATGAAACCTGGAATAACTGGCAAAGTTTTCAAAGTCTGAGCATCTGGTAAGTTGTTTTCTATTCAAATTAAAATCAAACTCTTGAAATGGTTAAAGTTAAGATGTGTTAAAAGTCTTTTGTCACCTTATCCCCTTATATCAAAAAACTCCTATCTGATAATGCCAGGCTGGGTGTTATTAGGGAACCAAGCTAGCACTGACCCTGTTTCTCCTGTTTCAATATACCATCAAAGAAGGATATTCACAAATAATAATGTAGGAGGACACATTAACAGAAGTAGACAATGTCCCACCAAAGAGGAGTAAGTGGTGAGAAAGAGCTTGTAAAAATACTGGAATATTATTGAGATATTATTATTATTATTATTACTGAGATAACATGAGAATACCCTCATAGCTTATTATTACAAATAAAATAATTATCATTGTTAACAGCCGCAGCTATCCCTTACTTCAGGATTATGGCAGATTCCATAACAAGCACTTCACATACACTGATCATTTCACAATCTAAGTATCAAAGAGATATTTATCTCCAACAAAAATCCTATGAGTTAATAATTATCTTCCCATTGACAGAGTGTATCACTTAACTTCTCTAAATTAAAGCCTCTTCAAGAAATTTGCTGAAGATTACAAAACTCATAAATGGGAGACAGCTCTCCCATTTCCACTCCCAGTCCTATTCCACAGAGTCTTACTGACCTCTTCCCAAATTCCAGTGCTACCAACACCCTGTGAGCAAATGCTGACTCCACAGGTGAGGCTGACATCAGTCAGATAATCCCTCCAGCAAATGCTACACTCTGGCAGATCTGCGTCAGCAGGGCAGAGGTGAGGGAAGGTCCTTCCCTGAGCAGGTCTGAAGCCATCTGAGCTCTGATGGAAGAGCAGCAGCTGCTTTGGAGCAGAAGACAGGAAAAGCCTTCCAGACAGGAGACCCAGAAGGCAGAGATGCTGTGGTGAGGGGGCATGTGTGAGGCTGAGCACTGGAAGAGTGAAGGAAGATGGAGACCAGAGTGACATGAAGCTGACAAATTTAGATGCATTAGGTGCAATTTTACCTTGTTCACAATGTACAATGGGCTGCAGGCCACGGTACAGAGTTTATCTTTGTCCTCAATACAATGAGAATTCATTTTATCTTACTGCTGGTGACAGTTTTCTTTGGAAGGTGTAGCAGGGTAGCCCTGCCACTTTGCCTCTTATAGGAATCTTTCAAGGCAGAAATAAAAAGTAGTTCCAAAGCATGAACTACTTTTTTTCTAGACTAGACATCTATTACACATCTAAACATCCCTAAACTGGAGATTTGAGCTGAAAATGAAGTATGGTTTGTGGATTAGACTCTGAGAGTAAACTGAGGCATAGTCAGTTTCCTTGGAGGAATTGGGGTGTAGAAGCATAGGCAACCCAAACATAGAGGAATGTAAGCACACAGCACAAGGCCCTGCCATGAAAATCTCAAGAGCCCACTTTCAGATTCACACCCAAGCTCCACTACCATTTGCTATGTAGCTTTAGATAAATTACTTGGTCTTTCGGTAACAATTTCTCCATTTGTAATAGAATCTACCTCACAGGATTATTTTCACAGTGAAATAAGTTAAAATACATGGAGGATAGTAGGGTAGTAGCTTTACATAGCAAATACTCAATAAATGCCACAATTACTACTATTATTTATTATTATTATAAAGGATTATGATATGCAATAAGCAGTTAAAAAAGGGGGGAAAAACTATAAATATACATCTGAGACAACATGCAGCATGTTCTCAAATTTGAACTGCATAAGAATTACCCAGAAAGCTTACGGAAAAATGTAGGTTCCTCGCTAGTCAGAGTTAAGGCCCAGGAAACTGTAGTTTCCATGAGTCCCTGGGGGATTCTGACATTGTTACTCCAACCAACATACAAGGCCTCAACATGTAAAATTTAAAATAAGTGTTCAGACATCAAATAATATGTTTCATTGCAAAATTCTAACAATAGGGATGACTTTATAAAGCTAATTTTCAGATTTTTTTTTTAAGGCACGATGGAACTTGCAAAATCTACTTATAGAAAAAAGCTGAATAATCAGAATCCATTTGATCTGTAAAACATATAGCACTCGGTTTTTAATAACCATTTTCGTATATTACTTAAATCTTTACTTCCAAATCTAAATGTCTCTCAGTGTTACATTATTAAGAGAAAATAAAAGAAACACCTACACAGTAGGGTGTGTGTGTGTGTGTGTGTGTGTGTGTGTGTGTGTGTGTATGTGTGTGTATTGTTTAATCATGAGACCTTGGTTTTTTTTTATCAAAAGTAACAAAGTCAATTTTAATCACACAGGAAAAGGAAAACTCTTTCTGCTAAGATACAACTAAGATTTTCTGTAGGTTTTCATGTTCATCTAGGGTTTCTCAGCCTTAGCACAACTGACACTGTGAACAGATAATTCTGTATTGTAGGGGCTGCAGTGTGCCCTGCAGTGTGCCCTGCAGGATGTTCAGCATCCCTAATCTCCACCCATGAGCAGAACCCTCCATCCTCAGTGTGAAAAGCAAAAATGTCTCCAGACATTGTCAAGTAGCCTCAGGACCAAAATCAGCCCTGCTTAAAAACTACTGCTTTCACTATAAAGACTCTGAAGGATGTCAGTTTAACCATTTTCAAATGCCACTCCAGGTTCTCAAAAACCAATCACTCCTTTCCCCAATCGAGACATCTTCCCAACATTTCCTCTTCAACATTTACACACACATGCATTTATATGTATTTCATGACATCATGGAATTGTTTTCAACATGCCATCTATTTTCAGGGAGAAAGGAAGATGCCATTACTAAAGGTAATAATGGTGATAACAACACCCTTGGAGACACTTGACCCTTCTCAAGGCAGTTTGGAATACACTAGTCCCAGCCCAGTATTCAGCAGCAGGTCCCAAATATTTTAAATCCACATTGAACAGTTTATCACAGAAAAGTGCTGTCTTCCAACACATCTCTGCAAGTCACCCTGGGTCACTTGAAGCAACTGATAACAGCAAGAACGTGAATTCTTTACAACACCTGCAGAGGAAGGGGTAGGAAATGTTTCTGCCCAAGTAGCAGCAAGAAGCCTGAGGCTCTCCATTCATTCCACAACTTGGCCCAACTTGGCATCTTGCTCTTTTGTGTTCTTTCCACTCAATTGTGGATATGAGACCACAAACAGTGAACAGATTCCTCTTGGAAATCAGTAAGTGTACATTAATTTAGAAATAAAAAGATTAAGATATTGTGCTGAGGGCCATTACCAAGTAGGAATGACGCATCGAAATTTCCTTGCCAAGCGTACCCCATGCTGCTTAGAGGACATTTGATGGAACATTGCATGCATGCTTTAATGAGGTGACCTTGCTCAAGGACCTAGGCAGATCCGGGTTTAGAGCTGATCAGGTTTGAGGAAGTAACCGGCTCCTTGAGTTTAAGGCGTTGCCAGTTTAAGATAATGGGTTTTAGGGAAGTTGGAAGTTGAAGATTATTGCTGGGATTAGGGTGTTCCTGTTGCTTGTTCCCATGGAGTTCTCGTGAGATTAAAATGGGACTTGGAGATAGCCTCGTGGAGTAGGTGGATTGTGCGGGGAGATGGCAGAACGCGATTGTCCCTGGACCTGTGTGGAGGCGGTGTGAGAGCGGGAATAAAGAATTGCTGTTTGAACCTACAAAGCTGTGAGTGCCTCGTGATTCTGGTGCCGAGACATTGGCCTTGGCAATATTGTTTGTGATGATTTTTGAGGATTCTCCTTCTAACTCTCTGTGAGACATTTTTATTTGGGGAATCAAAAGTTCTAGGATCTAAAAATTCACTTCTGCCGCTGAATCCACCAAGTCTAAGAATACTTCCCTTAGGGTTATTTTTCAGTTATTCAAACTAGAAAAAAAAATTTGGGTGGTAAAAACTGACAGAATCATTTCAACATCTCGTAGGCAAGTCAATGAAGAACTCACTTTGAAAGAACAGACAAAAGGAATCTACTGGCTTTATGAAGGAACTGTGTATACCCTCAAACCACCTCTACAGAAAACTCACACAGGTGACTAACTTCAGAGAAGAAAAGCCAGTGGCCTATCCCATGAAGCTGGTGAACAACATCCTTGAAGTTCATTACCAACTGAAGATACTGTTTGGCTCTTTTACCCAAACTATCATCACACAACCCAACACTTGGGATCTGCCTTAACCCAAAAAAAAAAAAAAAAAGAGTTAAAAACTGTTGCTTGGGTTCTCTTAATAAACAATACACATTCCAGTTTTATTTGCAAAACTAATTACCAGCAGCTGCTGCTACTTACATAGAATTTTTAACAGAAAATATTTTACATGCTCAAGTATTCTGCCTTTTTAAAAAAATTTAAAATAAGGCATAACTACCAACTTCTACATTCCTTTAACTGGTCTAAAAAGAAAAAAATGATGAAATCATTTCCCTGAGACTCAAAGGAGACAGCTGCACACATCTGTCAACTACACATCTCAGCATTAAAAGAGAAAATTAGTGCTTTAACACCATACTTACATGTGCGGGCTCAGTTCATAAAAATTTCTGTTTCTGTAATCTTCCACTTTCTCTGGAGAATAAATGGGCAAGGACCGGTAGGGGTTAACAGATATAACCACACTTCCAATATATGTCTGTAAAAGAAAGAATAAAATATTTGGATAAGTACAGAGATGCATTCAAACATTTTAAAGTTTACTGTTATTTGATTCCATCCTTTTATAACCAATATTCTACTGTTTCACCATTGAGTTTTGTTTTGAGTTTTGGGTTTTTTTTTTGGTTGTTTGTTTTTTTGGTTTTTTTTTTTTGTACCAGGGATTGAACTCAGGGGTACTCAACCACTAAGTCACATCCCTAGCCCTATTCTTTTGTATTTTATTTAGAGAGAGAGTCTCATTGAGTTGCTCAGTGCCTCACCATTGCTGAGGCTGGCTTTGAACTCGAAATCCTTCTACCTCAGCTTCCCAAGCTGCTGGGATTACAAGTGTGCACCACCATGGCTCAGCTCACATTTCAAGAACACTCTGAATCTCTGAAGATGAACAAGATGAACAGTAATGTTTGTCCATTTTGCATTATTTATGGAAAGGATAGACTTATAGGTTTAAAAATACCTTTCAAAATAAATCTCTAGATCAATTTATGATTCTGGATAAGTGCTCTCCAAAGCCCTTGCCATGCCTGCCACAATTTTCATCACCAACAACTGCTAACTATAAGCAAGAGCCACACCTTGACAGTGGGAAGCTGGTGTTTCCCCTTCTTTTTCATCCTCCTGTTTCAAGCACTGGTGACCCAAGTTTCCCCTCCTCCCAATCCGCTCCCACACCCATACCTAACCAACAGGATCCTCCCTTCCACACTGCCCTGTAAGCTTGTCAGTCTCTACAGTGGGCTCAAACAACAGACAATTCAGTATTAGAGTCACAGTTCTCCCTGGGAGATGTGAACAACATAATTTCATATTATACCTAATGCACTGCAATACCGGAATTTAAGCCTAGAATTTAAATGTACTTTTCAAAGGAAAGTAGGTTTAATGTCAAATTTACATGTAATGTGAAATTTAAAAATTCTTTCTGAGAGATCAGTGCAGTATTTTAACAGACACAAGCAAACCAGAACGTTATTTATCTTCCTTTCTCCTTCAAACTTAAATTCCTGGCAATGCAAAGTAGAATTTGGTCTAGTTCATTCTGTACAAGGCCTAGCAGAATGTCACAAGCGAGCCACCTACCAGGAAGCTCATCCTGGCAGCTCCACTTTCCTTTGTTTCAACACCATCAAGATAGTAGGATGGGGAAAGATGCAATAAACATATGCTTGATGAAGTTTTTGAAAAGCAAAAGAAAGAAGAGGAGGGTGGAGGGGCTCAACTCCAACTTGCCCACCTCGCAGAGCAGGTTTACTAACAAGTCTTTCCACTATTGCCACCACTGGGATTCTAGGAAATGGAAATTAAACAAAATAGAAAACAAAGAAACTGTGGAAAAGTTCTGCTGAATTTTTGGAGCCTGGGTCACAATGATTTTTTGTTAGAGTCCCCCAAACCTGAAGAACACAACATGCTTCCATCCTATGAGAACATATTCTTGGCAAGAGCAGACAAGACTGCTGTTGTAAGGCAAAGTTTGTTCCCATGCAATGTTTTGCATTTACTTCTGACATTCTGTCATTAGGAACCATGAAAACAGAGAATGACCCCAAGTTTCCTAATCGATTGCATTTAATGAGACATTTCTGAAAAGTGAATGGTCCCCTCACATTCCAACCCTCCTGGACAGGTAGAGGGGAGATGCTTAAGACAGAGTAACCATCTTAATAGCTCCTAAAACATCAGATTCAGTTACACTGGTAGATATTAAAGGAACATTAGCTATTCCTTTAATATCTATTGACTAAAAGATGAGCCTTTTTAAAAAATTTTTTTCAGTTGTAGATGGACATAATATCTTTATTTTATTTATTTATTTTTATGTAGTGCTGAGAATTGAACCCAATGCCTCATGGGGTGCTAAGCAAGCACTCTACCACTGAGGTACACTCCCAGCCTCAAGACAAGATTTTTTAGGTTAAAAAAAGGACTTGAATCCTTCCCCTTTTGTTAAAAAAAAAAGTAATTTTTTTGATTGTAGTCATTTTTAAAATCTATAGATTTTATGTTAGCAGAGAAACCGATTACTGACTTGCTATTTAAAACCAAACCTCACAATGGCTAAATTCTTAATAAAAATCTGCCTCTGTGGCATTCTTGCATACAGAACAAACTTGGCTGCCTCAAAAGCAAACTCAAAAGCCATGTGATAAGGTCCAGGTTTCTTTCTGTTATTTGTGACTTTTATACATACTAAATTATGTGCTCCTCCCCACAGCTGTTCCCCTACCACCTAGAATAGGATTTGGTCCATTGATGATGTCTAATAACTATTGGTTAACTGAATGACTGATTTGCACCAGCACAGTCATTATTAAGAAAATCAGTGGTTCAAGGCACTGACTCTCATATAATTATTCTTATGTTAGAATATCAAATCAAATTCACTATATACAGCGCCCATTATTTTTATGAAGCCTGTATGTCCTGTGTTGCCCTTCAACAAATCCTTAAACCATATCCTTTCCTCTGGAGTTTCCTTTCCTACTGTGGTAGACTATTTGTAAAAATGTCCAGAAAAATCCCTTCCATCCCTATATGCATGCTCCCTACAAATCATGACTTTGTCACTCTTTCTATTAGGTTGTAGAATTTATTTGCTCACTCTTTGAATCTGGACTTGTCCATGTGACTTGATTTGATCAAACAAACATTAAACCAATGAGACCCAAGCAGAGGCTTGAAGCACAACTGTGTAGTAGAGTATGCCCCTGCCCCTTGGTTTTGATAATCTTGGCTAGAAGCCAATGATGTGAATGAGCTTGACCTTTCCTGCCAGAGGACAGGTGGAGAGCCAAGGCACCCTGCCCTCAGCCTGCCAGCTCATAAGGCCCTCCTAAATCACCTTGGCCCAGTGGGGCTACCAGACACCAAAAGTCAATAAGGTGATCCCAGAAGAGACCAGCAGAAGTCATAATTCTCTGGGTAAATTTTTGCAGTACATTAGGTCTAATATGAAATTTACCCAGAGAATTATAAGCAAATAATTAGTTGTTGTTTAAGGCCATTAATTTCTGAGACTTATTTGTTACGTAGTAACATTAACTGATAACACCTGCAAGGCTCAACAAACCAAAAAAGGGCCAAGCAGGACAAGCCTTATCAACCCAAATAAGCAAACGTTAAAAGAAACTGCACTCTCTCTCCATTCCACTCCCTGTGTATGGTCCAGGTATGTAACTTCTAGCTTAAACCCCCAGGACACCTGTTCTTCCTCTTTATGGTTTTCTTCTTTGAGATTTCCATTTGCATGAGCTAAAATTTAAATATTCCCATGTGTGTCCATAGAATAATTCAAACATTCAGTCACAATAGTCCTTCCTCTAAGACACAGAAAGACATTCCTGAGAGTGATGGGCTGGGTGGGGGTTAAAGTCCACTGCAGTTTTAGGCAGCCACATTAAAGGAACTGTAGTACCAGATTAAATCTTTTCAGGGATCAGAATAATAGGGAGTGACAGTTCATTTCTATATCAATAAACATCTGGACTTATAAATTATATCACTGGTATTTTCTTACTGCACCATGCTCTAAAAAGGACAGTAAACAGATTCCTAATTAAGTACCCAGCCTGTCACCTCCATGCTCCTGAACCTCAGCACCAGTAGCCCTCAGGAGTGACCATACCCCAAAACATGACCATGACCATCCCACTGCCCCGTGGAACCAGCCTCTAACATCTAGGATCAGGGAAGGGGAAAAAGGGAAGGTGAGAGAAAGAAGAAAAGGAAAAGTCCTATCTCTCCATAAAAGGCACATTCAATAGCAGGTTGTTTTTCACTTCTCAAGGGCAGAAGTTAAATCCAGAATGTACAAACATTCCTAAGTCAAAACCATCTCCATCTTCATATTTCAAGGATCTCTAGCCCTTCAAACAGACGCCCTCTGAATAACCAAACAATACTTGAGTTTCCCCACTGTGATTAGTACAAGTGACGTCTTTCCTGGGGGACCTTCAACCCAGCAACTTCCTTCTACAGAGCACAATTCAGAACCCAAAAGAAAGACCCGGAGCACTCAAACCTTGTAACCTAAAGGCCTGCATGGTATTCTGTAAGAGTTCTTCCAAACTCAGTCTGCAGAAGCTCTGTATCAAGGGGCTCAGGAAGGCCTGTGTATTTTATAATGAGTTCCCAGATAAACCAATGCATCACCAGGATTGAAAACCAATGCTCTCTCACCTTTAGTGCTCCCAGGACCAGCTTTTACTGGTCTTTCAATTGCAACAACCATGACTGTGCCTCTCTTAACCCATCTCCTATCTCACCTTCCCTTTTAAGTATCCTCCGATAATTAACTCTGAAAACATTTTGAAAAGAAAAGAAAAACCCTTCTAGTCCTACTTCCATTTCAGTCACATTTCTAATTGGTACATGGTATCTCAGCACACTACAGGAAAAGAATAGTTCATGTATAGATTGGGAGACCAAAATGGACCACCCTGTAGCAGTGTATTTCAAATGTTTGATGATGACTCATTGCAAGACACAAAATTTGGGAGCTGGGGTTGTGGCTCAGTGATAGAGCACTCACCTAGCACATGTGAGGCACAGATTCAAACCTCAACACCACATAAAAATAAATAAATAAAAATAATAGAAGATGGAGTTTAAAAAAAAAGGAAATTTTCATCACAACCAAGTATGTGTGTATGTACCTAATGATACAGACACACACATCTCTATATGAGATTAAAAACTTCACAAAACCCAAATACCCTTAATATATGCAATGCAATGACTTGTTCTGTTGTTGTTTAATCCTATTCATTACAACATTTTTTTTAAAACTGCTGGTCCTAACCCACTAAATGGTTTCCATGAGCCACTAATGGAATGAAACTTGCAGTTTAAAAAATAGTGCTGCAAGAATATTCCCCTTAACCTTTCTTTTAGTTACTGATTCCCTTGAAATACCAACAAAAGCCATGAATCTTCTCTTTTAAAAAAAGGCACACTCGTATAACCTGCATGTCA